CTTTGTAAAACTCACTTTTTTTTATATTTCCAATCAGCCCAAATTCCAACATTCTTTCAAACACTCTTTTCAATTTATAAAAATGGTCTAACTTATGCTTACCAAAAATTAACAAATCATCAAAATAATAATGACCCCCTTAATATCAGCAAATATTTCGTCCATAGTCTTCTGGAAATAAGCAGTTGATACTGTAAGCCCAAAAGGTAGTCTATTAAATTGAAAAAGACCCTTGTGGGTGGAGACGGTCAGAAATTTGGAAGTTTCTTTAGATACGGGAGTCTGCAGATACGCCGATGTGAAATCTATTTTTGAAAAAAACTTTCCATTACCTACTTTAGCAATTATGTCATTAATCCTTGGAAGCGGATATTCGAACCTTTCTAATTGTGGGTTTACAGTAACTCTAAAGTCAGCACAAACTCTCAACGTATTATCCTTTTTTTTAACTAACACTAATAGAGTGGCCCATTGTGAAAATCTGACAGGCTTAATTACTTCCTGCTGGCGCCATTGCTCTATAGTGTTTTCTAATTCTTCTTCTAAATCGAAGGTCACTCTCCTGGCCTCACAAATTTTGGCTTAAAGTCATTTTTTAATAAAATATCTATTTCCAAATTTTTGACTTTTCCAATTCTATCATTAAAAACACAATCAAATTTCTTAATTAGTTTGTTGATGTCACAACTCTCTTCAAAATACCCTTTTTTAGCAAATAACGATTGAATGACATAATTTTTTTTATAAAATTTATCAGTATCTTTGAAAGGATTATTAAAAGTTAAAAAATTTACCCTATCTCCTATCTCATTCTTATTAATAGTGTTTATATCAACGTTGAATTTGATTATGTCAAATTCTTTAATCCGGTCTTGACCACATAGCGGTGGTCCCTCCCTATCCAATACATACAAATTTAAATATTTAATTGTATTCAAATATTTAACCTTAATATTCGAGACCTGACCAACGACTGTGATAGGAGAACCCTCATAAGAGAATAATTTTTTAGAACAATTTTCCAACTCAAATTCTTCATAATTCTCCAATTTTTCAAAATCTTTAATGGGCAAGGACAACGTCTACATGGCCGGGGAGGGTAGGAGACAAATGCCTCCAAAATATATTGGCATTTTTGGAGGTAGGTATTGATTTTTGGGGGTTGATATTGATTTTTTAGGGGTAGGCATTAATTTTTTGGGGGTAGGTATTGATTTTTGGGGGGTAATTTTTGATTTGGATTATATTCTTTTTAAATCCATTAATATTGATGTTAATTTTCTTACAAATGTCAATTAAAGTAAAGATATTTTTCAATTAATAAATAACATAAACTTTCTTTGGGAACCATTTTCATTTACCATTTTATCAAGTTAATATTTACACATTTCCTATTTGGTACTTTTCTTAGAGGTTAATATATTTATATTATTTTTTTAGCAGGATAAATTTTGGAGGTAACTTTTTTAGTCATGCTTAAAAACATATACCAACAAGCAAAGAATAATAAAAAACATAATATGTAAAAAATAATTAATTATTTCATTCTAGATGCCAAGTAAGTAACAGAACCTTATTTAAAGTGAAATGTGATTATATTAATTGTAAAACTTCTAAAATAAGAAGTGACAAGATACATGAACTTTATAAACATAAAAATCCTCATGTAAAGCCAGCTGATATGAAATTTACAAAGGTAGTTATCAAAAGAGATAATAATAAGTGGGTATCCTTAAATTGTGATATTCCATATAATATAACAAATGAACTTGAAACCCAGTTGCAAAAAAAGACAATAACATCTTACTCCCGAAAAGTAATATTTTTAATTTATTATTGTAACTAAAGACAATAAATATTATTGAAAATATACCTTAAATTTGTGAATTAATAGAAACTGATTTTTTATTTAAAATTTTACCAATATATTAAAATAAAATTAAAGTAGGCAGGGTGTAGAGAAAATAAATTATATATTTTATTATTAAATATTTTTTTTAACTGTTTATCACACTATTTTTATATCTATATATACTTTATAAAGTTTAATATGTTTAATAGGTTAATTAATAATAATAATTTAAAACCAAAGTATTAAAAAAACTTGTTAATATAATGTATTAAAATAATAAAAGTAAGGTAATGTTAATTTCTAAGAATTTGTAAATTTAAATCTTTTCATCTTTAATTGAATTAAGATTTCAAAGTTCTTTTACTTTTTTTTAATATAAATTTTATCCTTAAAATATGAATTGGATTCAACTATTTTCAAAATGTTATCTGTGTGAATTTCATCCCCTTTATTTACATTATTTGTTATATTAGGTATGTTTATATTATTATCATTGTTTATATTATTATCATTGTTTATTTAGCTATTTTAGATAATATACTTTCATCATGAATTTCACAGTTTTATTTATACTAATTTTTATTTATAAGATTACTATTGTTTTTACCGTCATTAAAATATCTTTTTTGATTTCTTCATGTGATTGCAGTTTTATATTAATCTGCATCTATTACAGTGGCGTAGCCAGGATTTTATTATGGGGAGGGGGGGGGGGGGGGTTAAAAAATTTTTTGGGGGGCTTCGCCTCCGAAACCTCCCATTCTTTTGAACACCTAATTGCTTATATTTTTGGATTTGTTAAAATTGTTTTATATTTTCATATAAAAAAATTTTAGGGTATTTTATTATATATTTTTATTAATTAAAATATTTTCAAAATGTTGATATTTTATATAATACAGATTTTAATATTAAAAATTATAATGTATAAAGACTCTATTTAAAAAAAGTAATTTTTTATAATTATATAAAATATGTGTAATTCTTATGCAAATAATGGTATTTAAAAAAATATGATGATATTATCTTATAAATAATACTTTTTTTACAAAAAAAATTGAGTATATATTAAAACTAATAAAATTTTATTGCTATTTTTTGATTTGAATTTAAAAAGAGAGATCTACTTTTCTCTGAGATTTTGCTAATTCATCCAGAATCAAATTTTTATCTAAAATTATCTCCTTGTAAATATTCAATAGGGCTAATCCATTTAAACGTTTTTCACCGGTTGTGTTTCTTAAATAGGTTTTTAACCTTTTTAAAGTTGAAAAAGACCTTTCATTAGTGCAGGTACTAATTGGCAAGGTAGCTGAAATAATTAATAATGTTTTGATATTAGGCAGGGAATCTAAAATACAATTACACATGGAAAGAGCCTGCACAGTGTAATATAAATGTAATTGTAAAATAAATTTAAATTGAAAATTATATTAACTTTTCGTTTGTAAATTACATAACCTGAAGGATTGAATTCATTATATATATATACGTGATATTTTGTATTAAATACTTTTACTTACTTTACTTATTTTACTTATTTAATAAAACACTTCATTGGCGACGATTTTTTTAGAGAAGATTTATTTGATTTATTAAATTTAAAGTAAAAGACTCAATGGAAGTAGCTCCTATTAAAGTTAAAGATTCAATGGAAGTAGTTCCTATTAAAGTTAAAGACTCAATGGAAGTAGTTCCTATTAAATTCCATATTCCAGAATTCGTCAAAGAAAAAGTAAATATTCAGGACTACTTATTTAACTTGGAGTTAATTTATAAAGTAAGAAATATTATAGATTTAAATACAAAAAAAGACCTGCTTTTAGCCTATATCGGAACAGACAATCTTATCAAAATTAAGAACTTTCACTTTCCAATAAATTTAGAGATGATAAATTATGATACTTTAATAAAAAGCTTAAATTTGGTGTTCAAGGATAGTTCGAGCATTTTCGTAAATAGGAAAAAAAAATTTTACGCTAAAAAGATGCAATGAGACGATTATTGACTTTTCAATTAGGGTTAAAACTGTCTGTTCTCTTTGTAATTTTAAACCGCCTTTTGATGAACTTTTAAGAGATATATTTATCCTAGGAGTAGGCTTACCTGAGTTGGACAAAGAACTTCGGTCAAAGAATATTGAAGGCAATATTACTTTTGAAGAGACTGTGCGTTTAGCGATCGCGCTGTCTTCGTTGGAAAATGAAACCCAGACTGAAGTTAATTAAATAATTAAAAATAAGCCAACACAGGGTTCGAAAAATAATTATTTTAGAAATAATAATTATACAAACGTCAATAGATTCAATAATAATAAACACTTTAGTAACAATTATATTCCTAATAATAATTATAGACCTAGTATCAAACCTAACTCTATTCAAAAGAAAGTGATATGCTTTCGTTGCGGTAAGGCAAACCACATAGCGAAAGATTGTAGAACCCATGCCATACAAATGATTCTGCCACGGACAAATTAATTTAAACTTAATTTATATAAGTTAAACCTAATTAATTTTGAATTAATTATATTTAATATATAACAAACTACAATACACATTAAAAGATTTTATCTCAATTTTATATTAACATTTTATTTATAATGGTTAACTTTACTTAAAAGAGCTCACCCCTATTAACTTCGGAGATTTACTCACCGCATTCTAAAAGAATTATTATCATTAAGCCAGCTATAAAAGAACAAAATGAATTTCACCTTAATAAAATTTAAGTAAAAATTTATTTTCAAATAAAGCAACCATCGATGCGAAGATAAATGGGTTGCAGCTAGCTATGGGGTTTGATACCGGCGCCGCGTGTAGTGTGATTGATGAGGTCACCTGGAATCGTATTGGCAGACTACAACTATCACCGGCTTATAAATTAGTGAGATATAATCATATCCAAATCGAAGTACTAGGTAAATGTACAGTAGAAGTCAAAGTAAAAAATATTTCGAAATTTTTACTTATTTGGGTAGTTAAAGGATAGAATTCCCTTATTTTTGGGATGCCTTTCATTAGAGAATTTGATATAAAACTAAAGGAAGAAGTTCGTATTAATAAAATAAATATGAATGTTCCCTCTTTAAATACGATTGCTTCAAAATTCCCTCAAGTTTTTAAAAAAAAATTAGGTGAAATCAAACTGCAAAAGGCAGTCATCCGAATAGAACCGAACACGTTACCGATTGCATTACCAGCAAGAAGAGTTCCTTTTCCGTTGCGTCGAACCATTGAAGCTGAGTTGGACAGACTTTTAGACGAAGGCGTTATCGAGAAGGTGGATCCAACAAGAACTCCAATCACTTGGGCTACGCCAACGGTTAATATCTTAAAGAAATCCGGTGCCGTATGGATATGCGGAGATTTTCGTTTAACATTCAACAAATATCTAACGATCGATAACGATTTACTACCAACTTTCGTCGACCTAACAAATAAAATCGCGGGTGGTAAAATATTTTCAACAATAGATTTAAGAGATGCATTTTTACAATTCGGAGTTAGTCCAGAATGTAGGGACCTTTTAGTAATTTCGACACATGTCGGTTATTACCGATACCAAAGAATTCCATTTGGTTTGACTAGCGCTCCGATAATATTCCAACGCTTTATGAAAAACCTATTAAAGGGAATTCCTATGGTTAGTGTATTTTTAGACGACATAATTATTGCAGGTGAGAATAATTCCGATCACATAGTTAATTTGGAAGAAGTATTAAGAAGATTTGAGAAGGCTGGACTGACCACGACGACCAAATTAAACTCGGAGAAAAAGGTCATGTTATTGACAGTTTCGGAATTCACCCTACAGAAGATAAGATTAGCGCTATAAAAAATTTTAAAACACCTTCCAATGTTAAAGAACTACGTTCATTTCTTGGAATAGTAAATTATCATGAGGCATTTATTAAAAATTTGCATTCTATTTGTGCGCATTTACACTGACTAACGAGTAAAAATGTTGGTTGGTTTTGGTCAGCTAAAGAAAATGAAATATTTACTAAAGTTAAAAATATATTGTCAAAAGAAGATACAATAATTCCTTATTCAGCCGATATCCCTGTCGTGATTTCTTGTGACGCTTCCGAAGATGGTCTAGGAGCTGTTATTGCACACCGATTTCTTACTGGCCAGGAGAAACCGATTGCTTACGCATCGAGGACACTTTCGGAGGCTGAAAAGAATTATGCCACAATTGACCGGGAGACTTCGGCGATCATGTTCGCTATCGAGAAGTTTTATCAATATATTTTTGGAAGACATTTTATCTTGGTTACTGATCATAAACCATTACAATATATTTTAAGTGATAAAAGAGATCTTAACAAAATAACAAATAACCGTTTAATACGGTGGGCGACGAAACTATTAAATTATGATTATGAGATAATATATAGACCAGGTAATCAAAATAAATGTGCCGATGCTCTGTTCCGTTTGAGGGTAGAGAAAGCAAAAACCAATGAAGTTACAAAAAAATTCGAAGAAGAAATCAGAGGATTAAAAATTAATTTAATAGAGGATTTATCTTTCACACGCAGTAAAGTCGTAAGTGAAACGAGCAATGATATAAACCTAAAAGAGATTATTAAATTAATAAAAAATCATTGGCGACGATTTTTAGAGAAGATTTATTTGATTTATTAAATTTAAAGTAAAAGACTCAATGGAAGTAGTTCCTATTAAAGTTAAAGACTCAATGGAAGTAGTTCCTATTAAATTCCATATTCCAGAATTTGTCAAAGAAAAAGTAAATATTCAGGACTACTTATTTAACTTGGAGTTAATTTATAAAGTAAGAAATATTATAGATTTAAATACAAAAAAAAGACCTGCTTTTAGCCTATATCGGAACAGACAATCTTATCAAAATTAAGAACTTTCACTTTCCAATAAATTTAGAGATGATAAATTATGATACTTTTACTTACTTTACCTATTTTACTTATTTAATAAAACACTTCATTGGCGACGAGGATAGAGAAAGGATGGAAAACGCTCTATGGAAACAAAAGTACTACAAAGATAGAAGTGTTGAACCTCGGGAGTTTGAAAAGCAGCAAAAAGTTTGGATAGCAAACGAAAGGACCAGGGTGGCATGAAGGAAAAGTGTTACAACGAAAAAGCGCAATATTGTATGATGTGGAATCAGAGGTGATCGTTAAAAACAAGCATGCAGATCAATTGAGGGATGCACATACACAAGAGAAGGAAATACCCGTTACGTTGACCGAAGAAGTGGAAAAGGCAGAACATGAGAATACAACTCTTGAAAAAAGAGTTTCGAAACCCCCACTACGTTATCACGATGAATTCATTTTATAGTGGGGAGAACTGTAATATAAATGTAATTGTAAATTGAATTTAAATTGAATATAATATTAACTTTTCGTTTGTAAATTACATAACCTGAAGGATTGAATTCATTGTATATATATACGTGATATTTTGTATTAAATACTTTTACTTACTTTACTTATTTTACTTATTTAATAAAACACTTCACAGAGCATTTTTTGGTCTCAAAGAATACCCTACTCTGTCAAGATTTTTATACCAAAATTCGACATCACAAAGTAACTTATCATATGAACCTACTAACATTAGCATAAAACTCTGAGATTTTTTTAATATCCTCTCGTGTTTCAAGTGCAATCAACAGTTTAGACTCAACCGGCAAAAGAAAATAAAAGCTTTTTAATATATAATTATGACTAATAAATCTTTCTTTTAATTGAAATAAAAATGTATCAATAAGGGGAATAAAAATGTTTATTTTATAAAAATCCTCAATCGTAGATGAATCAATATTTGATCGATTGGATTGTCTAGAGACTACTCTAGGTTTAAAAATTTCAATTCCAAACATATTAGCAATCTCCTTTACTTTTCATATATTTCATGAAATTTTTCATCCACATTCTCTCTGATATTTGTTAATATTTCAACAATATCCTTTGCTCTATTCATAATCTCCCTTAAATCCAAATCAATTTTTTGTAGCATTGTGTATAATTAAATAAAAAATAAACACATTGAATTGAAATTAAAAACTGTGGCTTAATAATAGCCTGCAAAAGATTTTCGGCATCTGCTGAATCTTTTTCCTTGCTTGATATATAAAATTCTAGTGCTGCAAAGACAACATCATAGAGTTCAATAAAGAGTTTCACCGACTCTTGTCTTTCGATGAATCTGTTCGGACAAAATCTTTTTAGTTTTTTTTTTGATTTTTTGAGTCAATATCATGATACGTTTGAATAAATAACTCCCTTTTTTGGGGTGGTGTGAAATAGCTGCAAACCAAAGATATTGTTTCTAAATTTTTTAAAATATATTAGCATTATTAAAGATAATACACACTAAACATACATAATATGTTATAAAAACTAATAAATTCTAATTAAATTAAAATATTTTTACGTAAACTGTTCCTGATGTCCCGAATTTCACATGCCTCAGATATCATTAAGTTTAAACAATGTGAACTACAGTGAACATAGAGGGCGGTGTTGTAAAGCTCTCTTATTCTTGACTGCACACCTTTAACATGACCACTCATCGAGGGAGCTCCATCATATCCTTGGCCTCTCATCAAGTTTAAATTTAAATCTAGGCCTTGATGATGATATTATTTCTTTCGCTATAGTCTCCGATTTAGTGTCATGCAATGAGATAAATTGAACAAAGAGTTCCTTCATTTTAAATTCTCCTGACTCCAGATAGATAAACCTAATGGCTATAGATAGTTGCTCTATTGGCCACGTCAGATGTCTCATCAGCTAAAACACTAGAAAAAGGTGCTGCTTTCACCTTTCTTGAAATTTCATTTAAAATGAATTTATTGCATATAGAAATAATCTCATTTTGTATCGAAGGACTTAAATAAGTTGCATTTTTGGGAGAGTTAATAAAAAGATTTGTATAAGTTTCATTATTATCACATAATAGTTTTAACAATTCTTTAAAATTTCCTTCGTTATTATTGGAACATATTGTTGTTAATGGACCAGAGAATACTCTATGTGCCCTTAGTGCTAGGCCCTGCTTTCCTAACCAAATAATAGCATCAATAATTATCATTATTCTTTTTCTATCATTTGTAACTTTTTTCAATTTTTGTTCATCTAAGATTTTGGATATTGATATTTTTTTGTTATTTGCTATTGCCTTTAAAATGTCTATTATTTCGCATGAATTTATGTGATATGTGTTTTGTTGATGGGAATTAAAATTTTCTATGGCATCTTTCACCTAGTATACTCGGTACTTACCAATGTCTTAAGTTTTTGTAACCTTTACCAGCATATTTTGGCGAGAAAATAACGCACACCTTACAAAAAGCCCCTTGCTTTATGGCTGAGTAGGCAAGCCACTTATATTTTTTTAGCCATGAAAATTGGAATGTTAAATTTCTCATATTTAATGATACTGGAAACTTATAACCATTCCCTGGCTCCCAAATATTATCAATGGACCTTAATTTTTCATTATCATTATGAAAATTGTGGTGTACATAGGTTGCAATATCTTTTTGACAAAGGATGTCTATATTTTTTTTAAATTAAAAGTTCAATATGAACTGTTTTAAATATAATAAACCCAATGATCTTATTTCTTATAGCACTAATCAAAAACACCCCAAAAACCTTATCTGAGTTTGTTTAAAAAATTAGTTAACAAATATAAAATATATCTTGAATAAGTATAAGTGACAAAATAAAAATGAACTATATAATATAAAAATATTAAACAAAATATTATACCTTGATCAAGAAGTGAATCTTTCAAATTTGAGATGCCAAGATATGTTGGTGATTTAACTATTACAATATAATAAATATTAAAAAAAAATATTAACAAAATATTAAACCTTGATCAAGAAGATGAATAGTCTGATCTTGAAAATTTGAGATGGGAAGATATGTTGGTGATTGAACTATTACAATATAATATAAAAATATTAAACAAAATATTAAAGTTATACCTTGATCAAGAAGTTGAATAGTCTGATCTTGAAAATTTGAGATGGGAAGATATGTTAGTGATAGAACTATTACAATATAATGTAAAATAAAAATATTAAACAAAATATTATACCTTGATCAAGAAGTGGAATAGTCTGATCTTTCAAATTTGAGATGGGAAGATATGTTGGTGATTTAACTATTACAATATAATAAATATTAAAAAAAAATATTAACAAAATATTAAACCTTGATCAAAAAGATGCTGATCTTGAAAATTTGAGATGGGAAGATATGTTGGTGATTGAACTATTACAAAATAATATAAAAAAATATTAAACAAAATATTATAGTTATACCTTAATAAGTTGAATAGTCTGATCTTGAAATTTTGAGATGGGAAGATATGTTAGTGATTGAACTATTACAATATAATGTAAAATAAAAATATTAAACAAAATATTATACCTTGATCAAGAAGTGGAATAGTCTGATCTTTCAAATTTGCGATGGGAAGATATGATGGTGGTGATTGAACTCTTACTATATGATATAAAATTAAGTAAAAATATTAAAGAAAATATTATACCGTTATCATCACCATCAGGAAGATTTTCCAATGTAGTATTAGGTGTAGGATGTGATTTGTTGAAATATGAATAAATTAATGATTGTTTTCTCATATTGAAAATGAGAAATATATATTTTTATAAAATGGAATATGACAAACTAGACAACTTTTATGAAATGCAAAATAATATAAAATTTATTTAATAAATATAAAATTTATTTAATAAATATAAAAATAATCAAATGTTTTGTGTATATCTATTATTATTTATAATAAATTTAAAACACAAAATCAAGCGTTTATTAAGAATTTATTAAATTAAAATTAAAAAATTTTAAAAAGGGACCCCCCCTATGCCTACGCCACTGATCTATTATGTCTATGAATCTTTCAAGTATATTTTCAAATAATTTTAACATGATCTTGCTAACAAAGACATATTATTAATGTTTACGATTAACGCGTTCAAAATTTGTGAATTCCCTTTTTATTCTACATTCACTTGTACTGTACCTATCACTTGTATCGTCTTGCCATTGTAACCTGATAACTTTATTTGAACTTGATAATATTTTTAATGCCTGTTTTCTCAATCATGTATTCTTGTAGAATCAAAACATTTATTAAAAACTTAATTATTGTAGTTAAGAAAAAAATTACCATTTGGCTAAAATTTTATTAAATATATAGTTTTTCATAAGGAAGCAAATTATAACTCCTCTTTATTTATAGAAAATCTCAGTTAAAAGATTCACAAATTGTATTATCTCCTCATCCAATCCCCATTACAGTGAGGCGCTTACTTTGCATGATAGGTATTTAATTTAAATACGAATTATATGATAACTTTTGAAGGAAATAAATTATGTTTATGAGGTTATTCAAATATTTCTAACATTTATTAAAAACTTTATTATAATGTAGCTAAGAATAAAATGACCATTTGGCTAAAATTTTATTAAAATATAGTTTTTCTTAAGTAAACAAATTATACTCTTTATTTATAGCAAATTTCCATTATTGAAGATTCACAAATTGTATTATCTCCTCATCCAATCCCCAGTTCCAGTGAGGCGTTACTTTGCATGATGTATTTAATTTAAATAAAATTTATATAATAACTTTTGAAGGGAATAAATTATGAGGATATTCAAAGTCCAAGTCTTATTCGGCTATACAAAAAGAAGGAATCAAATGACCCATTTCCCTTCATATTATTTAGGATGACAAATATTTTGATTAATTTCATAATTGCTGTAGACCCATGTCAGCCATGTACAAATAAATTTCAATATCCTGTTACTCACAAGAGGTTTTAAATAATTAATTTTCATTAATTTTTTCGCATCCATTATTTCTATACCAGTATTTATTTTTTTACTTTTTAAACAGGAGCATGAATATAACCTATTATAGAAAAGTTAATATATATGGTTCCCTCAACCCCAGAAATTGGCTATCTTATAGCACTACTTTAGACAAATCTTTTGTCTATACTGTATTATGTTTGGTGGCCCTAATTCCAATACTTTTTGGACTCAACTTGGAGTAAATAATTCTAAAAACATTAAGCGTGACTTAGAGAGACACGAAGCATTTTCTCTTCTTAAAGATTGTGTTAAGCGTGACTTAGAGAGACACGAAGCATTTTCTCTTCTTAAAGATTGTGAATATGCAAACATGACTTGGCTTGCAAATAAGCGCATTCAAGATCATTTGCTATCAAATAAGCTTGATATAATTATGGAAAATCGTAATATAGTTCATAATATTATCGATGCCATTATGTACCTTATAAAATGTAATATAGCCTTTTGGGGTTCTAATTCGAATGAAGGTAATTTTATGTGTCTCATAAAATTAATGGCAAAAATGGTTCCAACTTTACGTGCATACATGGATAACAACGAAAAATTGTGGAGAAAAAAAATCAGATAAAATTTCGAGACCTTATATAAATTTATTGTCATATGGCCACGTGAAAAAAATAACTGAAATTATTAAGATAAAAATAACAAAAAGCATTATTCAAAAAATTAAAGAGAATCGTGCCTATAGCATCATATTAGATGGAACATATGATGTGTCTAAAAAAGAATGCAAAGCTTTGCTTGTACGGTATATAGAAGATGATCTGCATCTACATCCTGTAGAAAGGATCATACATGTTTTTATTTACAACATCAGAAACCAGTGGGAAAAATATAAAGAAACATGTTTTTTCTAAGTTTAATGATCTTGGTCTTCCTCTTAATTATTTGGTTGGACAAAGTATGAATGGTGCAGGGAATATGAGAGGTATACAAAGGAATGCAGGCTTTAATAATGAAAGAGGCTCCAAAAGCCATCTATATTTGGTGCCATGCACATCGGCTAAATTTAGAAGTTGCTCATGTTTGTGGATGCAAAATTGAAATGAAAAAGGCAATGGGAATATTAGATGAGTTATATAATTTTATGAATGGAGTTAGACGTCAAGGTGTGTTTGTTAAATATCAAATGAGAAAGTCCAAGAAATCTCTTAAAAGAATTAAAAACACAACAAGGTATTGCAAATGTTTAATTAAAGAGAAAAATAAAAATGTTTATGTATTTTCAAGAGATGTCAATCAGATTATTATGTTTGTAATAATATGTTTTTATTGTAAAAGTAATAATTTTATTCAGTCGGTGATTTTAAAAAATGAATTGTATATTTATGAATTGGAATTTGAATTATTTGATATCGAATTTTATGATTATACTGTTGGAATTTATTAGATTTTGAAATAGAGTGAAAAATTGAAATAAAATTATTTGTAGTGAAAAATTAAAAAATATTTTACAAGGTAAATAAAATATTTTAATAAAAGTTATATATTTTCAGAAATTGGTCATCATCCTACAAATCTGTAGAAATCTTTTTAGATGTTTATGAACATATTTTAGCATCATTAGTTGAATTAAAAGATTCTAATGACCCAAGCACCTCTTCCATTGCCGATGGATTATTATCCAGAATTAAGGATGAAAATTTTATATTAAGTCTATTTATTTTGAAAGAAATATTGAAATGTACACATGAGGCTTGTATTGAAATGCAAGCAGTTGGTAATGATTTGGCTATGGTAACCAAATTAATACAACATACAAAAAATGAATTACAAAAACTAAATTAGTTACTATTTGTATATATAATTTTAAAATATAGCTAATGGAGACAACATTTTTTTAAATTACATTCCTTATCTACTAGTTTTTTGAAGAAGAATAATGTAATAACTGATTTGTATAATATGAAATCAATATTCAAATTGGATCAAACAGAATTCAATAATTATGTTGAACAAAAAAAACAAGTTGAATAAATTAAAAATTTTAAATTATTATTTATTTTTATAGATATAAAATGGAAATATTTTTCCCTGTGCTAAATGCAATACCACCTAAATGATCGATTTAATTATGATTGTTTAAATTTTTTATCACAAATATCCATTTTTACTCCTCTGTAATTATGGATAATGAAAAAATAGAAGGATGGCAAATATCCGAAATTTGTCATACTTATCAATTGGATGTCCAAAACATTGTTGATGAATATAATGATTTTCGCTCTTTATATTTGGAGTCTCAATCAATCATTTTTTACGAAGATTTTTTGAAAGTTAAAAAGATGGACGCGTTATATATTGATGAAAGTAATTTATTGATATTTTATTTGTAATTGTATATAATTAAAGGTATTGGAAAAGATAAAACTACCGAAGATAATATCAATAGCGAAATCATGACCAAAATAAAAAAAATGGATAAAATACTCTTTTATATTTCCATACCAACTTTTAAATCAATTAAATTCTTATTCTAATTTAAATTTATTATATAAATATTTATTAACCCTTCCTACAACTTCCTGTTTAGCCGAAAGAGCCATGAGTAAAGTAAAAATAAACAAAACTCGAATGCGGAATAAAATTTCGGACCCATTTTTAGAAAATTTACTGTTAATATCCAGCGAAATAGATGTTTTTGAAAAATTTACAATAATGATATTATAACACAATTTGCATTAACATCTATAAGGTTATCCAAATTATTAATAAAATAAGTTATGTATCTTTTTCACAGCGAATATATACGCTTTTAAAAAATAAAAATTATTTTATAATTTCAATGCAAAATATACTATAATTCATTTTATTCTAATATTTTATATAATAACTCTATTACAATCATGTTTTTAATTAATTAAAAGGTAATATAGGTATGTGGAATTAAGCTAAATATACCTATTTAAAATTACTCGTCTTATATTTTTTACAATATTTTAGATCTTTTTTATAGAAATATTAATATGTTATCTCATTTAATTCACTTATATATATTCTTGAAAATAAAGTGAATATCAACCAAATTATGAAAAGATTGCATTATTTAAATATAAGTTGATTATCCCCTACAAATTTTTAAAAATTTTTTTCCCTGGATTTTTTTTAGGTGGGTGTGGGTAGATTTTGGAGGGGGTTTGCCTCCATCAAATTTTCTGCCATATAGACTCTAGAATGTCACCGAATAAAAAAAAATGGACATTCTTCTTTTTCTAAATAAATTTCGATTTATAGATTGTATTTATTTTTGTTATTAATATGGATTATGAAATAAGAGAAATAAATAGAATGAATTCAAAAAAGTGTGAAATTATAGCAATAGTTTTGAAAAATTAAAAAAAATTGTGAATTATCGGGCGTGACGGGCCTGAATCAAAATATTGCTTGACGTGAGCGGGTGGGTCGGGTCGGAAATTTTTTAGTGGTAAGCGTGAGTTGGCGTGAATTTGTTTTATTGCCACCGTGAGCGAGCGGGCTGTGAATAAAAAATTAGGCCCGCGCCCACCTCTGATATTCCTCTATTATATAGAATTAGTTACAAAATACTAGATAAAATTCCACTTTTACAGACATATTTGACTGTTAGAAAATATATTACAGTTAATATTTTAACAAATTTTACTAATCAATGCTCTTGATAATAAATATAGCAACAATTTGCATTCAATTATTTAACATCATCTATTTATTTTAAATAAAAATGATATTTAAAATTAATCTTCATAATTCATCCCACAATGTCTTTAAAGATATTTTCTGATGTCCTTATCAATATT